TGTGTGTGTGTGTGTGTGTGTGTGTGTATGTATGAGAGAGAGAGAGAGAGAGAGAGAGAGAGAGAGAGGAGATAGAGAAAGAAAGGCTGAAATTGTCCAACGGATCGATGCATCCGCAGCGTCGGACGGAATAACTGTCCCAGCGGACTCCGCCAGTACGCGGATAACACATGTGCGCGCGCGCGCGCGCGCACGCATACACAGGCATTTGTTCGGGCGCGCGTAAGAAAAACCGAGCGACGGAGGGTGCACGTACACACACGTGGGAGGATGAGCGCAGGCTCGGTTGGTGGGGGCCAGTCGGCCACACGGTGGAGAGGGGAAAGGCCGCTTGCTCTCGCTCGCATGTAATAATCTCTCTCTCGCTTGTTGGTTCCCTCGCTCCCTCGCTCGCTTACTCCGTTCGTTCGTGCGCTCCCTCCCTCGATTTGCTCTCGGCTCGACGGAGGAAGACGAGAGAGCGCAGGAGCCGCCGCAGCCGGCGTCTCTCCTCGCCGGAGAAAAGCCCTCGGGGTGGGGGTTGGAGGGAGAGCGCGGCTGTCGGGTGGGAGAGAGATGATGAGCTGCCGGGCGGCAGGTTGAGAGAAATTGCCAGGAGAGTCACTTCTCCACGGTGAGCCGGAGCGTCGAGACACGGAACTCGACATACGTACTTACGCGCAGTGCGACGCGACAATACTCCCTACCGGGACCAAAGCCACATAAGCACACGCAACGTTAACTTCGTTGACTTCGTTGACTTCGTTGACGTCGTTGTCGTCGTCTTCGTCTTCGTCTTCGTCATCGTCTTCGTCTTGATCGTAGTCGTTGCCGTTGTAATTGCCATTATCATTAAACATTATCAGCGAGTGCGCGGCAGTGGAAGCGAGTGCTACGCTACTCTTAGTGCGATTAATCCTTGATTGATTGGGAAGTGCGAGATGGATACGAGCGAAGCCGGAGCGGCCATGCTCACAGCCACCGAGTGATACGCGTTTCCACGAGTCGTCCTGGACAGGCATGGATTTCTCCGTGAAAGGTGAGTCAAGGTGGCCTTCGTCCGTCTCGGAGCGCAAGCTCCGATTATCCTCGGCTTATCTTTAACGCGATACGACGACGATTCGGCCTCGGCAGTTACTCTTGCCCGTCGTCGGTCCATTTCCCGACTGCCGTAAGCGACATCGCGACAATCTCTGGACACGAACCTCTTCCTCTTAATCCCATGTTGGGCAGGTTCTGCTCGCGACAAATCAAGTTCCTTTCGAACGTAGAGCTTCGAGTCGATCGGATGATTTCGTATATGAATCGACCAAGGAGTGAGAGTTCCCGAGTCTTGCCTAGGTAAAGTCCCCACCTGCTAGTGCCCAATTGCTGCGAATCATATGTGGCGAATAGGAAAGAGCCGACGAAGAATGTCTGCTTGGTTTCCCCGTGGAGGTGCATATTGCCCGCGGCGACGCGCGCAACCGCCGCACGATAATTCACCCGCTCTTATGAATAATTAGCTTTTAAGGGAGGGAGTGCGGCGGCCGGATGTGTGCATGTGCATGCCTGCTAGAGTTAGTGAGTCAGTGTGCGAGCGAGAGAGTGAGTGTGAGGGAGAGATTTGGGGAGAGGGGGGGGGGTTTATCGATGATGGAGTAGTGGCAGGTACGAGGCAGGGGGAAGTGGGTGGATAGAAGCCCAAAAGTCATACGCGCGAGTAATGGGAATTCAGCGGGTATCGGTCATTCCGAATTTTTTCCAACCTTGGGATTGTCAATCGGCGCTGATATTCCGAGTGGACGTCTACCAACGCCAGTCGTAGCTGGTCTTTTAAACAAATTTCCCGCTCGAAATCCAGTCGTATTTGACTTTACCGAGTTTTAAGGTCAATTGATTTTCCGCACACTTGAGCACACGCTGCTGCTTGTCGAGAAATTATTTATAATCTCCGAACATTCCGTCGTTGTGCTTTTAATATCGTTAATTTCCAATGGGAACGGGCTTGGTTGGATATTTCCGAGAGCGATGAGGCGATGATGTTTGACGCGTAATGGAGGCTCAGGATGCATTATCGAGGTTAGAGCGATTGGAGCGACGGTCCTTCGCGAAATAATGCCCCGGAGACTTGCAGGGATCGGTTGAGGCGTTGGGAATTCATCGAGGCACGGCGCACGGCGACGTCAAGCGGAGGCGCGGAAGTCTATCTCGAAAATTTTATCTCGGCATCGCTCTCGTCGCATCGTTGAAATTGGCTCGATCGTTGTGTAAATAGCCAGGCGGGCAAAGGTAGAAGAAAACACGACGTCGATAAATCGTTTATAGCCGTCTTCATCATCGAGTTATCGGGTCGGCGATTAGCGCACTCGAAAATCCGAGCCTCTCGTGTATTACGCGCGCGCGCACGTAAGATAAAAGTCGAGAGAGAAAAAATGAGAACAACGAATATCACCGCTGGTAATAAGAGGAACGATGCACTAGTCCTTGGCGCGTTCTCGCTCCTCCCCCCAACCCCACCGTACTACGCCGCTTCGGCACCCTCGGCCCTTCTCGTACGACACCCCTCCGTCCGCGTTATCCGCGATAACATTTCGCAGCAACGAAGCCTTCTCCTCGCGCTAATCACAGCCTCTTAGCCTCAGCGCTAATCTCTGTCTCTCTCTCTCGCGCTCTCTCTCTCTCTCTCTCTCTCTCTCTCTCTCTCTCTCTCTCTCTCTCTGTTTGTTTTTGTTTTTTTTTCTTACAACAATGCCCTACGCCCCCGCCCTCGCCAGTCACCGTCAACCTATTCGACGCTCGTCTCGGCTCTATGATTAACGAGCGGAAGTCGCGTAGCGCGAAGGCGAGTGGCAGGAGAGCGAGAGCGAGACAAAGAGATATGCGATGATAATCCAGATGAGAGGAAAGACAAAAGGTTTCGTGACCAAGTGTGCTTGTGTGTGCGTGTTTGGCGAGCGACGTCGGCCAACGCAACGCGAGACGCGTGATTCCGAATTCGGTTGACGTTGCACAAGTGGAGCTTGCGACCGTTGACGATGAACGTTCGTTCTCCTTTCTTCTCATCTCGTATCCGCGATCGAGGAAATGCAATTTTTCCTCCACTCGGCAATGCATTGTAATTTAGCAGTTCGACACACTAATGGCAATGGGGAAAATTAGCAGTAATCTCTTAACGTTGAAGAGTCAGGGAAGTTGGTAAAGGAATTTAGCTTCGGCAATGCCGTGGCCAGCTTCAACTGTCGCTCCTATTGATATTTCCCTAGAGAGTGTTTGTGCGTACGCGCGTGTGTGAAAGAACGAGCGAGAGAGAAAAGCACGGCCTTTTGCGTCTGGCTGACGTAAGTAAGAACCTCGTAGAATTTCGTCTCCTCCTCCTCGCCTCCCCCCCCCCCTCCCCTCCCACCCGTGGCGTTTGGCAAACAGTAGTCCGAGATAAGAGTTCGTTTTGTGCCGTCGAGCCTTTATCGCGTTCCTCGTCTTCCTTTCCCAGTCCCATCGAAAATCTCGGCGTCCCGTGTTTTTGTCGCGCGTCTTGGACGCTGCGACGCGCCTTACACGAGATACGAGAAATGTAAGCAAACACACGTTGTCGTAGCTTGTGTGTATATCGATACATCGGCAATCACTCGGACTCCTCTACCACCCCCCCCCCCCCCCACCCCACCCCC